AAGAATTCGAGAAGGTCTGCAATTAATTCGAGGCCATTGATCTTTGCCTATGATTTGTACAACAACGATATGAACAAAAAGATCACCGCCAGTGAGTCGCAGAAAAAAAGTTGTATAATTTAATTTATTCTTGCAATCTAACAACTCTTCTTATAATTTAATTTTCATTTTTTTGGGCCGACCAAATGTATAGAATCATCGGTGATTTTAATTTTCAATTACACTTTCGTTTTTATTCTCGACGAAGCTTCGAATTTGTTTCTTTAACCTCTCATGTGTCTTCATCTCTTTATCTGAAGTATCCTAAGGTAATCTCAGTTTTTCACTTCAACTTCAGTTTATTTATTTGTGCATATTGTCATATAATATAATTGATGACATTTGTTTCGCAGATATTTTGATTCTTCATACTGCCATTCTTTTGCCATCTCTGATAGAGAACTAAAGGAGCTTGAAGCTAAAAAATTCCTAAGTTGTGATTTTCTATGCGAATTTCACCTGTAGGTTTGTGCATAATAAAAAATTTCCTTGGAATATATGTTGGTAACAAACTATTTTTCGGCCTTATTGCCACCAGTATGCCTGCAACCGTCTTTGGAATATACATCGAATCGATTTTTACCACCAACATTAAGAATTTCACAGATGGATTATAACGATCCTTGGCACACACACACTCACATTTCAGTTTTATTACAGTCAGTTTATTTATGCTACATGGTTACCACACCTCGCGATTTTAATAAATATTCATTTTTGATTCATCTCTTGGGCAAATTTATTTTCTGTTTATTACTTTCTGAGTTGTTTCTCTACGTACTTATGCCAATGATTTTTTGTTTGCTGACCATTTTTTGCTTAATTGAAGGTTGTTCGAAATATTTAAGAAATTCATAACATGTCGTCTAATGATGATCTTTACTTGCAATGATTACAAATTCAATTGCGACAGTGATATATGAAATTACATCACATATGCTCTTCTACACACCATATCTCTTAACCGTGCAATTAGGTTGGTAGTTTCGACATTATTTAATATCAGGACATGCTTAATTGTTATTTGTCTTTGACATATAATGTTTTATTTACATGCATGTTCTAAATGTTGAAATCTTTTGCAGCAACACTCTTCGTTTCAGCATATATGCAGAGTTAATGAGTTCTCAAGGGGAGCATCGATTTATAGGGGTCTGACAGGGTTTGAACTCTCTAGCTAATAACAACTTATTCTTTAATGACATCAAATTTCATCCCAACTTTCGGCTCCGGATTCATAAAGATTTATGAGAGATTTCATCAATGTTGACTTCTGCAAGTACAGTGTCTAAATTTTGCTTTTTATTTAGTACAACTCAGGCCCCTGTTTCATCTTCTCTGTTAATAATCTTTCATAGAACATCTATTGTAGTCCATCAATTAAGCTCTCGGTCAAAATCACGGGCTCAACAAATATGAGTTTGTAGATGCTACGCCCGCTAAAATACATAGGGTGTTCATTCACTATTGATCTACACATAATGACACATATTATGTTTATATGTTGTTAGTCGGTAGTAGGGCTGTCCGTGGGTTGGGGTTCATTGATTACCGGTCACTAAACCAACCTGACCCAACTCACCGACTTTGGTAAATATTGAAAACCGTTTTCGACCCAACTTAGATGGATTGGATGTTAGTTGACATCCAACTTTATGGGTTGGTTGATAGTTCAACCACATATATTTAATTTTTTTTCTTATAATATTTTGTTACAACAATATTATGTTCTCACAACTAAACTTATTACTATATTAGATTAGTGATGGTTGCTGGAATTGTAAAAATGTGGGAAGTGACGACAATTCTGAATTACTATCTCTTTTTATTAGTCAAGCCTACAAAAAAAAATACAGAATAGAATAAAATATTAGAGATTTTAATAAAATTAATAAATAATGAATAAAGTTGGTCAGTCGATATTATCCGACCAACCAACTTTTTAGCATATTATATAAACTATTAAATGCCCAATTATATATGGGTTGGTTGAAATGTTCGACCCAACTTGAATGGGTTGGTTAATGGTTGATTACCAACACAAAAATATGGGTTGAAAATAGGTTGGTTGGTGGCTCAAACCGGCCCGTGGACAGCCCTAGTCGGTAGTATTTATACAGATCTATAATGCAAAATCACCTGATACTTTTCATCAAGTGTAGCATCTAATAGACCTTGAAATAGTGAGGTACCTTGTATAAATCCACCATAAATATAAAGACAACATTAATGTATAGAAATATTAAATGTACAAAAAATGTTGTTGAGAGTAGTGAAAATGAGCACTGTAAGAAGAAAGATTATCGAATTGAAAAATGAAAAAAAAAAAAATTACCAGAGAGATCGAGTTAATGTTTCACCGAAGAATATGTTTGTTATTCGATATGTATGATATTTATGTCGACAATAAGGATGAAACATTAATCACTGCGTTAATTAAGAATGTGTTGTCTTACTTATGGCAGACTCATTGCCCAAGATATAATAAGCAATGTCCCGAGTTTTGGGGCCATAATCGCATCCCTCAATTTTCAATCCTCCGTAATTTTTATTTATTTATTTTTGTTTTCGAAAAATCCTTCTAAATCGCATGTGCAACGCGTGTGTATCCAATACCGGCGATTTAAGCCTGAAAATGGGCAATGTGGCACAATTTATTAAGCTAGGCTGGGATCAAAGTTTTTTTTTTTTTTTCTTTTTTTGAGGTTGTAATCCGCAAAAACAAGCAAAGTTTAGGAGAGAGAGAGAGAGTTTTTTCGAACTTTTTTGGGTCCCAAGTCCCAAGACATACATGTTTTTTTGTTTATAAATGATGAAGAACGTGATCATACAAAATCATACCAATCCACATGAAAATTTCCAGGCTTTTAATGATGTTAACTTCCATTGCACATTTGCACTAATACTCAAATACACTATATGGTTTTATGATCCTAGGCTGCAGTGCATCACTATATATATATATATATATATATATATATATATATATATATATATATATATATATATATATATATATATGTTTGTCTTAGTGTGTATATATGTACAGTTTTTGACATCAACCGGCCGACCAAAAAACATTCATTGACTTGAAAAGATGATTCCCTTTTTCAATTCCTAGGATTCATTCATATGTTTGCCATATATATATATATATATATATATATATATATATATATATATATATATATATATATATATATATATACTTTTATTATGTCGATTTTTACAAGACAAATGCTTCAGCTATATTTTCTTGAATAAGACAGCATAGCTTTTCATTACATTCCATACAAGTATATATATTGCTCTTGTTTTTCTTGTTCTCTCTGCTGCTTTTCTTGGCTGCCTTTCAAATTCATCAATGGAATAATTCTGGTAATTAATATATACCTTCTTTTTTTTAAATTTATTTTTACATCTTTTACGACAATCAGTGCATATATATAGTTTGCTCAACGCGTAGAGCTTCTTAATCCAACGGTAGAAATTAAAGAAAGGGCTTCGATCGAAAATACTATTTTCCATTTCTTAACAACTTTACAGTTTGAATATATGCATGCTCTTCAAGTTTCACTAAATCTCCTTCTGAAACGCATTTTCGTCGTTTTTTAGAATTGAATATATATATAAATATATATATATTGAGTCTTATTCTCATGTGACCTCTTGTTCTATAACATTAACCTTTCATATTGTGCGAAAAAACCCTAGCTTGTATATATAAGTATGCATTTTCGATTTCAATCTGATATTTCATCTCTCATATAATCATTTTATATATGTATATCTATGTATATGTCTATATATGTATATATATATATATATATATATATATATATATATATATATATATATATATATATAATGTGAAATAACTACTAAGCTAAATACAGTATGCAAAGGTAACACAAAAAATAAATTAGAAAATTTGTAAATGATATATAATATGTTCTTAGACGTTGCTCGAGTATATATACTCATCGCTTAGAATGTTTACTTGAGAAAAAAATATATATGTATGATAGCTAGGTTTAGTTATTAGTTATTATAAGTACTAGAGGTTTACTTATGTGTAAAGAAAGGAGAAGAAAACTTTAGCATAAAGTCTTTTGAGAACAATATATATATTTGTACCATACAAGAAGCTAACATATATACATGCATTAATGCCCGCGGCCGTATAGCCTGGCCTTCAAAGGGACGTCTATTTTGCCTTTTTCGCGACGATTAACAGCCAAGCAAGATCGAAGTTGCGATCACTCAAATTGGTTATTTACAAAAATGCCACCATTAATATTATATATAACCAGGTGATCGATCAACAAGCTACTATATAAATATATGCTTTTTCTGCTGGAAACAAGCCATGTATACAGAAAAAAGTTGTAACCGAGCTAAATGAATTAAATTAGGGGGGAAAAAAAACCAAAAAGACCTATTTAAATATTCTTATCACCAAAAAATCCTAAAAATTATTATTGTATCTAAAAAGTCCTAAAATCAAAATATTAATACTAATCTATCTAATTAGTCATTTTTAAATAACATATTAAAATATTTTATTCAGTGGACTATGTAAATTATCCTTCAATATAAATATAATTAATCCTCTTCCAACTTTATATTAATCGTCACTTTGGACGAAAAATATGTAATAATAATTTAATATAATGAATTATATATTATATCTAATGAATGATAATATATATTCCACCAAATTAAAATTAATAGGATTAATTAAGTTTACTTTTTGGACAATCTAGTATTAATATTTTTATTTTTGGAACTTTTCAGATTGAATAATATTTTGTTGGTTTTTTTGGATGTAAAAGTTCTTATTTAGGACTTTCTGGTATTTTTCACATTAAATTAATTTGCTTATATATTATTCCTGCAGTTTTAAAATCCTAGATAATTAGGGTTTCTTGAATTTGTAAGTTTTTGGAAAATAAATGACATTTTACGATACAAAAGGGGAATTAATACATATATATTTTAAATTTACTGCTCATCAATGCATATATGTTTACACAGTTTCGCTATTATTACATCGGCAATGGATCGGAGAACGATTCATTATCCGATATTACCTTAAATTATCTTACAAGATATACAACAAATAATCTTTTACTATATTATCAGTTTTATTATTATTTACAAGAAACTGTATAAAATGATGATACTTCCTCCCCAAAAAAAATATCACAACATGTACAGTCTTGTTTCGTTTATCGAGATCACAATTCACTTCCACAGATCAATCGGACAGCTAGAAGACGAAGTCGAGGCATTGTTCTCCTGCATAATTTCTTGCTTGCTGTTCAAGTCACCTCCAATATTCATATTATTCGATTCTTGAATCGCTGCATTAATAATAACACTATCGTTTTCTTTCGAAACAACTTCCTCTTGGCTGAGCTGCGACGCCACAAACTTATCGAGTACCCTCCAATCCGTCACCTGATCTTCAGACAGTACTTCACTAATATTAATATTATTTCCGAACAAATTCGTATTCGTCTGAAAATTGTGATCGAAATTGCTCCTAGGGTTTACATTGAGTGCACCTCCCTCAAAAGAAGAAGCTTGCGGCTGAAGCAACTTCGGACTTTCTAGAAGTGGAAGCTGATGAAGAAAGTGATGATGATTATTATTATCGGACGGGATTCCACTATACTGCAAGTAACTAATTATCTCCATCTTCGAATTCTTGCAAGATGTATTATTACTATTATTATTATTGATATTATTATTATTATTATTATTGTTATTATTATAAGGATGGTTGTAATAAGAATGGTGGTGCTGCTTCGGTGAATCCATGTCCGGCATGAACGAAACATGATCCTCATACCAAATTGGCGAATCGTGTTCGCTGTGTTTCTGCGTCGACGCTATTTTCTTCTTGAAAACCCTGCACACTACCCATCCTTCTTCCTGTTTTAAATTATTTATTTCCAAAAGAAATAAAAATATTATTCATAAAAGGTTACGATAATTTAATATAATATATAGAATAAGAAAAAAAAATATTAAAACAGGAGCTATTTATTAGGCATTTTTTTTTATTTCATGCAGGCGCATAAGCTAAACCTAGTTATTTATAGCTTCTACATAATTAATAATTAATAATTAATAATTAATATATGCACATTCTTGTGATTACCTGAAATATCATATATTTGAAAAATTAAATTAAAAGAAATTAAAACTTGCCTGAGGGGCTCCATTTTCGTCAGTCTCGAGTCGATATTCGTGCATAATCCAATCGGATTTTTGACCATTCGGAGCTCTGCCTTTATAAAAAACCAAAGTTTTCCTCATTCCAATTAAATCATGTTTCGAATAAATCGCCTTGTCGCGCCCCGTTGCCTTCCAAAATCCAGCTGCAGTAGCTCTATTCGTACGAGTTCCGGTTGGATATTTCTTGTCTTTGTGGCTAAAAAAGTACCATTCATCTCTCTCTTCTGTTCCTATTCTGCAAAGCTCTAACAAATACAAACACAAAAATAATTAATTAAAATTAGTTTAACATTTATATAATTCTATTTAATTGGGAAAAAAAACATATTAATTATAATATAATATAGATAAATTACCTTGAAGATCCCAAGGCTCAATTCTGTAAAGATCAACATCTTTAATTATATCTAGATCAATACGCTTCGAATTAATTTTCCTTCTAAGATAATAATCGACAAGTTCTTCTTCGGTAGGATGGAACCGGAATCCAGGAGGAACGTGAGAAAATGTATTCATAATTCTTCGTTTAATAATCCGATTAAAAAACCTGCAATTTATCAACATATAGTAATTTTATGGATCGAGTTAACTACTAGAATTTTCAGATATATCTTAGTATATATTTATATATTATTTACTAATTGCTACTGTTTCGAAGTAGTACGTACACATTTGTTTATTAATTGTAAGCAAAATAATTATTAACAAATCAAATCCCAAACTTAATCATGAAAAAAATTCAATCAAGATATAAGAATGAACATTTTATTTTTATTTATTAATTTTTTTTCTACTGCAATACATAAATGATACCTAAGCATATGATTCGGCATGAGTATATATATAATATAATGTCGATAAGATCGAAAATCCCAGTTATGAAATTACATTCCTAGTAACAAAAAGATCGAAATGTACGTCAAGAAAATGTTTTGATCAAGCTTTAAAAAAAATTAATAAATAAGTAAAAAAAATCTTTTCTTTTATTATTATTATTATTATTTTTTTTTTTATAATTTGAATGAATTTATGTCTTATATATGTATGTATGTAGGTGTGAAATAATCAACAAACTAAAATTTTCTTTTCATGAGAGGGTTGTTAATTCGCACACTAATGAAATCATGATTGCTTAAAACACGCATGAAATCATAACATCATGAGAGAGAGAGAGAGAGAGAGAGAGAGAGAGAGAGAGAGAGAGAGAGAGAGAGAGAGAGAGAGAGAGAGAGAGAGAGAGAGAGAGAGAGAGAGAGAGAGAACCTTGAAAATCCCAGTGATCTGCAGGGAGTATACACTACTTCACAGATCTAGGCACACAGAACTTCGATTGATTCAACCTAAAAAATTATATATATATATATATATATATATATATATATATATATATATATATATATATATATATATATATATATATATATGAACAAGTAATTAGATCGATCAAAAGACAAAGAAAAGACAAGAAAATGTCCAAAAAGAAAATGAAACAAAGGTTTCTCACCTCGGGAATTGAACCCTCATCAACTTACAACTACTGTCTTAACTACACGCAGTGTCTTCTTCTTGTCGGCCCGGCCCGAATGATCAGATCCCGATATAAAAGGGTTTTCTTCTTTTTTCTGTAACAGAACAAAAAATACTTTTCTTCTTTAAAAAAAAAGAAGAAGAAAAGAAAAGAAAAAGAAAACCCTAGTGGCTGAGCAAGAGAAACATGAATGAACAAATGTGACTTATATTTATACGAAGCAAAAACACACTACCAAACTCATGATCGATAGAGAGAGAAAGAGGAAGAGAGAGAGAGAGAGTGTGATGATGAAAGGTTTGATCAAATAAATAATATTTATATATTTTGATTGTGTCTCGCTGTCAGCAGTGACCAGAATTGCTGTGAAAGCTTTTTTTTCTGAGCGCTAGAAAAGATGGGGCGGAATTGCCCACCCGCAACTGATAGAGACCTCTTAATTTTTGGACACAATTTTTATTACCGATTCTCGTTAGGAGAGTCGATACCTAGCTAGCTTTTACAATAGGGTAACAACTGTTTAGGGTTCGAATCCTCCCCTTCCCTACTTCCTCTTGTAATGGACTTGAATTTACTCAAAAAAAAGAAAAAATTAAAGTGTAAATTACGGCAATCCCGAGGTAAACTTAAATGAGAAAATCTCTCTTATTTGCGTTATTAGAACGACTATCCATCAAATATGAATTTTCTTATATGTACACCCCAATGGTGTTAAATTCAACAAAATCTTCTACATTTCGTGGAATGTTATCTATGTTTTAGTTGTTTTATACAAAAATGCAGTTTCGGATGCACCACAATCTGATATTTACTAACCCAGAGGTGTATCGTATTGTTTCAAAATATGGAACTCAAATTGGGTAAAACGGGTACAAATTAGAGAACTTTTCATGTAATCTAGAAGATTTCACTAAATTTGACACTGTCAGTGTGAATTTGTAAGAAAATTACTAATTGGGGGATGGTTGTAATTTTCCAAACATGAGGGTTCTTTTTTTTTTTTTTTTTTTTATTTTAAATTTGACCTTACCTGAGGGCCCAGGGGTGTCCGTAATTTATCCTTAAATTTAATTATTTATTCAATAATGTTTGATATTGGTTGAGAAAATAATTAGGTTCAGTTTTATATTATTTTTAAATAGAGCTAGTTATGATGCTACATAATTACTTCTTTATTAGAGAGTATTTTGTAAAATAATAAACAGTCTCATATTGGAATGTTTTCCAGAAAAGAATATGTGATAAATTAAGGATATGACATGTGTAATGTGTTAGTTTAGAAGGGGAAAAAAGTATGATCTTATTGTGGTGTTCAAGTTTCTTTTCTTATTTCTAGCTTTCTTTTCAACTTCTCTTTTTTTCCAAGTTGGTGTTTCATGTATTCAGGTGTAATAATTGTTGTTGGTTTAAACTTATTGAACGTGTTACGTGTCACGAACTTAATTTTTGGTCGAACTCATCGCACATAATTTTTACAATGCGTTTTTAGCTTTCTGTGTTATTTGATATTATGGAATTTCAAAATTTAGGTCACAAATAATACAAAATATATAATAATATTGGTATTGTATGTGTAATTTTAGAGGGAAAAAGTCGCAATTTTTGGAAATATTTTTTTAAAGTAAAGATCGGAAAGAAAATCAGAATCTAACATGCATCTCAATTTCTTTTTAAAAAAGTCGCAAAATTTTAGACTCGAAACTTTCAAAACAAATAATATTGTTCTAAAAAAATATCGGATCGAAATAATTCAAAATTTTATTTCCAATTCCTACCCCTACTAATCCATAATTATTTATATACTACACCCGGTGAAGACTACTTTGAGTATTTTTGCAGTTGATCTACACACCAATGTATATATTAATGGATAAAATCTACCCACAGTCGATGTAGCATAGAATAGACCATAATCCACGCCCATACAAAAATTATGTATGAAAAGTACTGCAATTGATGAAGGTTGAATCTGACTGAAACTTATTAGATATTTAATTAATTTTAACTAAGTAAAATACATAATATAAAAATATTTATTAATTGTGTTTTTTGAGAGAGAGAAAATCACATTTTTGAAATTATTTCAAAAATTAATATGGGATTTGTCTCAAAGATTTAGAGAAGCTTGTTAGTTTAATTTCTAGGGCCATAAAATCACTTTCAAATTCCTCTTCATAGTTCTGAAATTAAAATACTAATTATTTTTAGGTTTTGCGTTCTATTGAATTGACTTCTTTAAGAATTCATTTTAAATGGAGACATAAATAAAATCGCTAACTACTGACTCACTTTACAAGTTACGTTATAATTTTTCATTTCTGAATCACCTAGAATTCTTGTTGTTGTACATAGTCACCTGTTTGCCTAAACAATTACTGGCTTGAGTGTCGAAAGATTTTTCGCCGTATCAACCACCGACTTAATTTATATGTGCTCACCGTATCCTTGCAGGTTCAAGACTCGGAGATTGTCAGCTCCCCACCTGGCGACGACTCTACATAGATCAATTACTCGCGTGCAAAGATCATGCCCTAATGTTTATATTTAATCTACCAAAGATGGGTGATACAACACAACATCAATATAATATCTTTTTTTTTTTTTTTTTTTTTTCTTTTTCTTTTTTTTTTTTTTTACTTTTTTTTCTTTTTGATCACTTGATCAAATGGAACATTCTCAATGCAAGACCTAAAACCAAAACCCCATGTGTCAAATTGGAGAAAAATAATGGACCCCCTTTGAACCCAATAGTGTTTCTTGTCCCTACCAATTCTTGTCTATCACTATTCACTAGTGACCAAAAATGGGCCCCACAAATGCGCACGGTTCGAACTTGATTTCTATGGGACATTTCATTTTTTTGTGGGGGATTATTGAGTGCTAATTATTTGCAACAAAGACTTTGTATGGTGACAAATTATTTCGATGTTTGTTATATTAATGATTCTACTTCTAATTCTTGTCTTATCTCATTTAATTTTATGTTGTTAGCTTGTCAATTTCCTAAATTATTACTACAACGCTTGATTGTTCCACCCATAAAACCTACACTCTCGTATTTGTAAGTCCTAATCGTGTGATAAACTCAACTTAGCGACCTGTTAGCAGATGATTCGAATTTGGGTCAATTGACACAATCTCACTCACTTCAATCGTTAGGTTATCTATCACAGAATATTCGCAAACTTACTCAAATAACTAGTTACTAGAGAATCTATGAACTATTAAAAAGGAAACACATAAACTTTCCAATGGACGCCGCGGATTCATGAAATCGATAATATCGATTAAATTTATTTTTGTGTTATTTGTTCACTTAAAAAGAATTAAGAAAATATTTTATGATATTATATAATATATTATTTTTGGGTAACAAATTCACTCCTTCATAATATCATAAAAAATCCCAAGACATGATTGAACTTACCAGCTTATTCTTGCTCGTCACTAATACGCTTCTCATCCACTACCGACTCTCATCATTCTACTCACTCTATTGTAACACACAATTACATATATGTATAAATAGGCCATCATCATGTACTTTTCATCACTATGTAAATTATAAAAAGAGAAAACAAAAATTTGAAAAAAAAATTAAAAAATTCCAAAGTTTGACGAAAAGATGTTTTAACTAATTAAGTCCATTTGATCACTTGAGTCTTCATGTGTTTCGAATTGGTATTGCAGTGTATTTATTACAGTGCTAGAGATATAAATATTAAATGATTGACATTAATTTAAGTTTTTGGATAGCGTGCTAGTCCAATATAATACTAGAGCTAGGCAAATGAAAGGTTTGTTTTCAATTCCTACCGCCATCCATTAAAAAAAAAATCAACGTGCAATGCTTCAAGGACAAAAATGTGCAGCTTAAATTTTGAAACGAATTTCTAGATTCTGATTTTTTTGGATTGAAAGAGGTTTTATAATTCAAATAGGTCGTCGATTCAGATATTCTCCTTTCGACTTTCACCCGTAAATAGAATCATCATATGTACTTGACATGAACATCGCCTAAAGAAAACATATA